TTTGGTGGTGAGTGGAGCAACGGAGTCAAGGCTTTTCTTCAGTTTGCTGTTAAAATAACTAAAAATCAAATCGCAGGGTGCAGGTAAAATCACAGGGGGGCATTTGACTATAACCCTGGTAAAATTTGCAGCCACTTCAGAGGTTAGATAGCGCCTCCTCACAGTTCGCACTGAGGTCTTCCGCTGAATAAAACCGGTGATGTTAAAAAACACACAGTAGTGGTCAGATGATGATAAGCACAATGATTTCTTATGCTGAATCCTACTGCTTCAGAGACCTTACTGATCATATCATTGACAAAATGTGTCCCATTGTCTGATCTTGTCAGAGAAGGGATACCATATGTTGGAATAAAATGATTACATAAACATTTTGCAATGGAGATTGCCTCTGCTTTTTACTGGATATATCTCTGGTCAGTTTGAAAACACATCTATGATCACTAAGGCATATTTTGATCCTTGACATTCATTCAATTCAATAAAATCCATGTGGATTGTGTGGAGAACTGGCCTCTCTTAGGTCTTAAGTTTCCTTGTGGGTTGTGTTTTTGACAGAATAGGCATGTTCTTCAAAATTTATAGTGTAAAAGTGTGTATTATATTGTTTATCTATACTATATTCCCCTCCTGTTGACACATGTATTACATCATGTGTCACTACAACCGCTGTCCTGTGTAACGACTCTGGTAATATTGGTTTTCCATCACAGAACATTAAGTCATCTTTCAGTTGTGCTCCACATTTCAGCCACTTGTTCTGTTCAGTGATTGTTGCAGCTTTTTGTTCGGTTTTTAGTACACCAAGTGGTATTTGTGGGCAGCAGTCGGATACTAGTAGCTCTGCCAATTGTTGTGCAGCCTGTTTTGCTGCTTGATCTGCAAAATTATTTCCTTTTGTGACAATAAAATTGTCTTTTTGATATGCTGCACATTTGCGAAGTGCCAATTGTTCTGGCAAGGTGATCACTTCTAATAAGATTTTTAATAAGCTGCCGTGTTGCACTGGGTTACCCGTAGAGGTAACCATACCTCCGTTATGCCAAATTTTTGCTAAGTGATGCACTGCTGAAAGAACAAACTGGCTGTCAGTGTATATATTTATATTTTGGCCTGTGTGCAATTCATATGCACATATGACTGCTTACGTGCAGCTGACTCTTTTACTGCCTCTGCTGCGGCTACACAGGCTTGCACATGCAGGCAGGCCTGACGCAACAGAGTCTAATTTACACGAGTCTAAATTTCACCAGGAATGTTAATGAGCGTTATTTTCCTCCAAACGCCTGTGTTATCACAGCTTTCATATAACCTGCTCCTCTATCTACACGTAAGTAGAAAGGCTTATCATAGTCAGGCAATGCTAAAACTGTATCTGTCTGTAATGCCTAATTTTAAATAACTGAATGCTTCTTCTTTTTTCTTCTCTATAGATGCAACATTACATTTTCACTTAAGGCATTTTTAGATAATTTCTAGTTTGTCAAAGAATTCACACATCTTACATATTTCAACCTTTGAAGTTAGAGTTTTATATATATATATATATCTATATATATATATACATATATATATATACATATATATATATATATATATAGACTACTTCATATCAATCATCCATCTCACATCATAACTGACTAGGATACTTCTTATTATTATCATCATCTTTTTCTTTCTATATAATAACAATAGTATATTACAATATTTTATTAGTGTATATCACTATACTACTGCTGAGCCAATTTAATAGTTAGGATCATCTTACTCAGCAAACAGATAATTTAGAATTCATCCCATCTGGACAGATTTGCTTTTCTCTGAACAGGTTTGTGCCTACTTTTTAGACTGGTCTTCTGTTTGCCTCATCTCAGATCCAACCTTCAGTCACATTCATTCTCTCTGTTGCATGTCGAACCAAGTAATTTATTATTATATTTTTATATTTTATTTTGTATCCATCAAGGGCTTCGGGTGATCTGCAGTTTCACCCTTTCCCAAGCTGGAGACATTTACCTTTTCACACACATTCCTTGGCTGAAGAATGACACAGCCTTAATGTACCTTATGCATCTCTCTATTTTATTTAAAAGGTTTTCATGTGAATTTTTTCCTTTTATTCATTTTATACATTCTGGGCATGGTCGTCATGCCAACTATGTTTCATTGTTAATATCAGTTTACAGGTTGTTATCCTTCCTATTATTAGTTTCAATACGTTAAGAATAAGTTCTAATGTAATTTTGTCTTTATTTATTTTATTTTTGTACTTCTTATATTTATATCTATTCGTTGGGGTCTGTTTCCAACCTTTTTAAACTACTTTAAACTACTTTGATCTCTAATTTTTACTTAATAAGGGTTTTGTCAGTCACTGCACTGTAGTGTGACCTGATGCTGATTTTATTATTAAAGTATCTTCTGAGAATTGTACTTCCTGTGGTTTTTTTGTTCGAAACGGTTTTACATACCCCTGTATCACGTAACATCTGCACTGGTTTGCCATTGACATATACTGTCAGCGTAGGTTTGCCTTTTATTTCAGACACTAATTGATAGACATTAAATACTTCTGCGTCACTTTTGTCATTTTCATTTGACTTTTTCTCATTTAGTCATTCATTTGAATATTGCCGTTTGTCCATTTTATGTCTGCAATCTCTGGCGAAATGCCCTTCCTTGCCACAGTTCCAGCACATATTATCTCTTTCTTCACTTCTTTCGCGTATGTCTGTCTGTCCTACATATCTCTGGCCCTTTCCTCTAAGTCCTCCTCTTTCTCTGCCTCCATTTCCTCTCCTCTGTCCCTGTCTGTTACCTTCTAAATCCTCCTGAGAATGCGATAAACTCTGTTTCTGGATCTAATGTGAAAGTACCCGTCCTTGCAGTTTTTATATTTTTTAAATTTTATTATTACACGGAGCGTGTGCTTGGCATGTTGCAATGCGTCGGCTAGTGGTCATTCATTGTGACCTAGTGTTTGCCAACATGGGATTTCACTGCAGGTAGCAGGCCATTCAGGAATGCATTTTTTAGCTGCTGTTGGTAAGGACCGTCAGGACCTTCATTATAATCCATTCCTGAATGCAAGCGATCTAACGAAATCGGACGCTGTTTCATTTTCTTTTTGTTTCACTTCACCAATTTTGCCTATCTTTTTGTGACCACGGCCGGAACACGAATATATTTGGGTTATTATCACGTTGTGCCTCCGCATAAAGACCAGACTGAGGTCTAAACAGATCACAGGATAGTTTAAGGGGGGTCGCAGCAGCGGGAGTGGGGGTTGGCCGTGCAGCAGCGGGAGTGGAGGTTTGCCTCACAGCAGCAGGAGTGGGGGTTGACTACCTCTGCCTTTTTCATTTTTCTTTTCTTGTTTCTTTTTTTTATTCTCACATCGTCTATCTGCCTCTCGCTTCCATATTTGGAAATATTTAATTCTTACGTGCGTTTTCCTTTTTTATTTAAATCTTTTGTTTCTCCTACTTGTTTCAGTAATGCTCCTTTAAGTTGTAATAGTGCAGATGGGCTACATTTTCCTTCCCAGGTGGAACATTTGATCTTTTTAGGATTTCTCCATCTTTGCACACTAATTTGTCCGGCGCCTGGACATTTTTTTTTCTTTTTTTCTTTCTAACCACTTTCTAACCACTGTTCGTCAACAGTAAACTTAGTGGGCTGATTACCCATTAAAACAGAACTGCAGAGCCTTCTCTGGTATTAGACTTAAAGAGTGGTTATTGACTTCAACTCCAGCTATTCCTGAGCGGTGTCAATTTTATGAGGCTGAACTCAACCTTTCTCTTTTGTCACCAGTACTTCAGCTACTGACAGGAAATAAAATGACAATAACAATGAGAGTGATTCAGCAGCGTATTGTACTGTTCAAATCAATTCACTCTCAACACACAGAAAACACAAACATTTATACAGACATTTTACACAGTCGCGCAGACCTTTTCGGCAGGTCAGTCCTAAAAATTCCCAATTTAAAATCCTTTCGGCGGATTAGTCCTCTTATTTTTACACATGGATCCTTTCAGCTGGTCAGTCTTTAAAACTTTTATTTTTACAGATCCGTGCAGTGGATCAAACTCATTCAATCCGTTCGGTGGATTACTCTTAAAGCTTTTATTTTGAAACACGGACCATTTCGGCGGGTCAGTCCTTAAAAACTTTTATTTTGAAAATCCGTGCAGTGGATTAGACTAATTACATCCTTTCGGATAAGACCTAGGTTCGTTTTACGCGAGTGTAAGTGAGTGGTTTCTTTACCTTCCCAAGACTCTCTGGTTATGTTGAAAGTCAGCCACTGGATCCCAGCGTCGTGGACCACTTACACTGGCCAGAACCCAAATTTCACGTCTCTGGACTTTCACTCCAAAGAGGCTGTCGACAGGCTTCAGTGCAAGATGAGCAAGATGCAAGATGAGACTCCACCGATAAATCTCAATAATTTTATTGTCTTTGTTCTCATGAACTTTTGCGAGATCTCGCAAAAGTTTTAGCCGTATTCTTTGGAGGCCGCCAGCTCGAAGCCGACCGGGAGGTCGAGGCACGATGTGCCAGGAAAGCGGTGTTCCTCCCGGCTGTTGTAGGTCTCGACCACCCGTTAGCTTTGAGATGGTGGGTGTCAGATCTCCGAAAATGTCGGAGCACTTTTGCAAATATGTGATGTCTTGTAAACCGAGCAGGTATCTGACGTTTACACAACTACATTCACACCTCAAAATATCTTAAAAGTGTATTTTGTGACCCAGAAAGAGTAATATTACAACTAAGTAGCTGCCGCCTTTGTTGGAATTCAACTTTTGCGAAATCTCGCAAAAGTTTTGCGAGATCTCGCAAAACTCCGTCTTAAGTTTTTTTCTCCCATGTCCCCTGCAGGGCTCCGTAGAAATCAAACTGGTCCACTGACCAAGGTCATTTTCTGAAGCACATTTCCAATAATGCAAATGTTTATAGGCCTATATCTACCAAACTATATTTGAGGGCAAATACTTTGCAAAATGTGATGTGTTAACATGAAATATGTTTGCAAATAGCCACAGTTTATACCAACTCTACTTTAATACATCAATGTTATACCACACAGTATATCACATAGACTTAGAGGGCTATTTAAGCTGATTATAAAGTTGACAAAGTATTTAAATCCTGTCTGTTTGTCCTCACACATGAAGAATGAACCTCTCAAGTTTGGCATTCACCCCAGTAAGATTTTACAAGTAAGATGCTTCTGGAACTTTATCTGTACAACACATTATGGACATTCATAATCTGACATAAAAAACATTGTAATTTTGCCCAAAGGGATTTTCTTTTTTTCCTAATAGAAATATCTCTGGCTATATATTCTTTTATTTATTACTACTATTTATTACACATAATATATACACATATATTTGTTTTGGGTTTGTTTGTCCGCCGAAGCCTCCGTATTATTCTCTTCCTGTATTTCCAGGACTAGTTAAAGCAGACTTTTCTCCAGTGGTTTATGCAACACCAACTCTTCTTCATCCTCATCATCACAGTTTGATCCAGCACTGCTCTATCTCACAGTGTTGGTAGCAGTGGAGGAGCGGTGTCTTCGGGTCCTGCGGGTACAACAACTTTTTAGGTGGACAAGAAGAAAAAGACAACCAGTTAGAGCAGGGGTACGTCACAACGCAAAGCTGAAAGAAGAACTAAAATAAAATAAAATGGAAAAAGTCCATCAAATTAGATCTAAATAAAAATTATTAAGTGAGAACAATACAGTACAATAAAAATAATGCTGATAAACTTGTGCAGAGTAATCTTTTGTGGATTCTTACCAGCATTTACAACAAATAAGGCCAAACGGGAACACCAGAATCCATACAAATGGTAAGCTCAGTAAAGCCCGATTCCCTAAGAAAAGTTTTAGAAAAGGAATAAATTAATTTTACAAGAATTATGTTTTCTAGTCTTTAAATACGTGTAAAATAAAAAAATAAAAAATAAAAAGATGCACTGCCACAGTCGCTGTTGTTTTTCATATATAAAATGTAATATTTAATCATATATAATTTGTTGAGCTGATAACTCACTGATTAAGAGTGGATTCAGGATTTTTTCACTGTATCCATAGCTGACTGGGTTTTCCAGCTGACAGCTTATCAAACGCTCTCTGTTTGCCTGCAAATGAAGAGAAAAAAGGAGCTCATAAACACACACTGCATTTTATTTAGAAATAAATGTCCTTGTTTTGTTTACCACATATTGAATTTTACCATTTGCCAGTCACTGAATTTGTTTGTGGCGCTCAAATCTGTCAGAACTTTCCCTCCAACTTACTGACTTAATTACCATGAAGCTAAAGATAATCATTTGATAGTCTGAATGTATTCGTTTTCTGATTCTTTGTTTGAAACATGCACCCTAGTTGTTTTGTTTGTTTGTTTGTGGGTATGTGTGTCTGTGGATTTGGACGTGCCAAGATCGGTGTAAGACCCAAATGCAGACTCAAAAAAAAAAAAAAAAAAGGCAAATATTACCTGAAAACGCACATTTAATATGGTTTATTCTTCAGGAAATACAAAATTCATGAGGAATTCATCAGGTTGTATACACATAGGGGATAAAAACAGCTGATCAGTTAGGTGTACAGTGGTCCCTTGCTATAACGCGGTTCACCTTTCGTGGCCTCGCTGTTTCGCGGTTGTTTTTGTTTGGTGCAATTTTGCATGCTTTTTTTCCTTACAGCACATTGAGTTCTGCGTCCTGATTGGCTGTAGACCATTGTCAATCAATCTCATGCTGTGTCTCCCGTCCAGTGCAGAATGCGTTCAGCTTGTCAAATTAACATAAATCTTCGATCTCTAGCAGTGTGACTCTGAAGTGCTGTACTGTATGTTTGTAAGTTTTCTCCCCAACAAACATAACAATGTTGACGGTTTGGTTTCATTCTATAATACTGGACCTATTTTTCTACGAAGGTTTGAATTTTGAGAGTGTTTAAACAATAGAGAAAAGTGTGAAAATGTTCATGACTGTCTGAGAAAAGTGTCTAAAGTGTGTAGTGAGAAAACAAAGTTGGCTACTTCGCGGATTACACCTATATGGCAGGTTATTTTTTAGAACGTAACTCCCGAGATAAACGATGGACCGCTGTACTGCAAAGAAAGTTCAACACAGACAGGCTTTCTTTTGCTTTAGCTAGTTACAAAATGTAAAACCCCAACCAGAGATAACAGGTCATCAACTTTCTCTCTTTTTTTAATCGCTGCTGTTTGTTTCTCAAATGAAGGCTGCACACTGGTGGTCTGAAAATCTGGATAACTCTTCTGTCAGTATACATAATTCAGCATTTAAGCTGTTATCTTCTTTGGTCTATAAGTGTTTCCATATACAATATATTATATATGTAATAAACTGAAGATTTTACTTGATGGTCACTATTGGTCTTTAAATAATGAAGGAAAAGCAAACGGGTTCTTCATACATTGTGTAAAGGCCAAATGCACATAAAGCTGCGATAAAATGTCTTGAAAGTATTTCGATTAAAAAAAGTTTTGGATTCATTAGGTTTGGATAAAATGACAAAAATAACCAACAGAGCTGTCATGTGATTCAATAATCAGATCCTGTTTATACCTGTGTGATGTTGAACTGACTGGTTGGAGACTGTTTCACCATGTCACCTATCATCCAGTAATAGGTGATCGGTTTGGCATCATCTGTCACGTTGGGTTCACAAGTGAGAGTACAGTAGGTCATCTCAGGGTGGCACCATGTGGACACAGTAGGATTAGGGACAGTGGCTGGTAGAAAAGAGAGAAAACCAACAAGAATTAGACTTAAAATCAGGTGAACTAGTCCGTGCTAGCTAGAGTATGAATTCCTCCTCCCACTTACTGATAACAATGATTTCCGTTGTGCTCATGACTTCATCATTAATCTCCGCCGTGTAGCTGCCGCTGTCGTTTAGAGCCAGGTTTGAGATCGTCAGGACCCCAGTGGAGGTATCCACCTCACAGCCATCTAAAAGTATGAAGTGAAGGTATCATCGTGGATCATTTCAATATATTAGCACAGAAATTACCTTAAACTTCATAGTTTAAGGTGCTAACCAGTAGAAATTTACATCACTGGAATCCGAGATTTATTTATACCTCATAACGTTGTCTGTGAAGGTTCTCAGTCATCCAGGTCATCGTAGTTTAAGGAGCTTGCAAAGAAAAATGTCTGGACTTCTTTAAGTTGCTTGAAGACGTTTCACGTCTCATCCAAGAAGCTTCTTCAATTCTAAGGTCAAATGGTGGGGAGTCCCAGATATAAACCTAGTGGGAGTAACCCCCCACAGAGGGACAATAGGACCCCCTGGTAATCCTCTAATCACCTGAGCCAAGGTGTGAAACTGGGTGTGGGTCACAATCAGCCAGGGTTTCAGGTGAGTTCATTGTGAAACCTGGCCCCACCTTATCATGCGAATTCCTGAGGTCAGATGGCCAGGATGTGAGTGGGCTTTAAGGCGTCTGGGGAGGGAACTCAAAACTGGATTATAGATGGCAGACAGTTGGTGTCGTAAATCACCGCCTCTGTTCAAAGAAGCCATCTATGTCCACTGTGAGCGACCATCTTTGAACAGAGGCGGTGATTTACGACACCAACTGTCTGCCATCTATAATCCAGTTTTGAGTTCCCTCCCCAGACACCTTAAAGCCCACTCACATCCTGGCCATCTGATCTCAGGAATTCGCATGATAAGGTGGGGCCAGGTTTCACAATGAGCTCACTCGAAACCCTGGCTGATTTGGACCCACACCCAGTTTCACACCTTGGCTCAGGCGATTAGAGGATCATCAGGGGGTCCTTTTGTCCCTCTGCGGGGGGATACTCCCACTAGGTTTAAATCTGGGACTCCCCACCATTTGACCTTAGAACTGAAGAAGCTTCTTGGATGAGACGTGAAACGTCTTCAAGCAACTTAAAGAAGTCCAGACGCTTTTCTTTGCAAGCTTCTTTGAATACCTCATAACAGTTTAAACAAAAAACCTACCCCAAAGAATCTACTTAGCCTGTTAATGAAGGCTTAAGTTACACACTCCTTGCAACCTCTGGTTGCTATTGAAAGATATTTTGTCTTTGGCCAGTTGAGTGTTTGCTGAAGGTCCCTGGATGTCCCTGGTTGAATACTCACAAAGAGGGTGCTTCACCACAAACCTCCTGGTGCCAGAAAATTAATTCTGTCCATCTTGGTGTAGCAAGTACAGTGGCAGAAACATTCACTCTCTCATCTAAGTGACTTCTTCAGGTCTTTTTCAGTGAAGTCACTGAAAAAGAGCGAAGAAGTCACTTGGGACGAGAGACTTCTACTCACTGAATATGTTATGTTCAGATGGACAGAATCAACTTACTGGGATTTTCAAGACTGCTTGTGATTGCTTTAGTCAACATCAGATTGACATGGAAACCAATAGTTTGCATAAAGGTGGTGAATTGTCTGTGTGACTTAAAATGTAAATAACTTGCCAACTACCCACGCAGTGGAAGTCAAAGTTGAAAAAATGCAGGTACTTTTCTGCCACCCAATCAGTCAGAGAAAACACATTTTTATGTGGCAACCTATGGTTGTCAGGCAGTCAACAACTAGTCTCTTGGTCGGCGTAAATATGTCCCTTAAAAATATTATTTGAGCAAAGGTTTACGTTTATTTAAAGGTCGTCAGTACCGAAACCTTCATGTTTGGTGTATTTTCAAGGGTTAAATTAAAGGAAAGATTTAAGGATACTTTTAGGCTTTGTAGTTTTACAATGAGAGTCATGACTTTTTTCTAAATACGCTACAAACATTAAAAATATGTAATCTGTGTATGTATATGGATTTCAGTCTTGAGTGAATGTACCTCGGAAGTGCCAGGAGGTGAAACGTTGTTGTCTGGTCCACTCCAGAGCAACATCCTGATCATGTGTCCACTTGATCCTGGTGATGGAAGCAGACACAGAGCCTGGTGTGAGGACGACTTTGTCACCCACTTTCTTGTAGACGCCTTCTTTCTCTGCAAAATCAACATATTAAGAGTTTCACATTCAATTCTTTAAATGCATAATTGCTTTAATTTACAGTTTGGTCTTGTGCAATGTAGACATTCAGGCTGTGGGGGCAGCAGTATAAGTGTAGATGCTCAGACCTCCCTCTTCTCATCCACCTCCTCCAAGTCTTTTGAAAATACACCGAGGCATTTCCAAGCAAACTGAGAGGGCTTGGAAGGATGTCTACTCTGAGATCTTCTCCTGTTTGTATCTGTGGTTATATTCTTTTGGTAACTACCCACAGCTCATGGTCATAGGTGAAAGCATGGCTCGACCAGCCATCAGCAACAACTCTTCGCCCCAGTGAAAGCAGGAGATAATGAAGAGAATAGAATCACATCATCTGCAAACAGCAGAGATGAGATTCTGAGACCACCAAACATGATCTGCTCTATCCCTCGGCTGTGCCTAAAAATTACTTCCAGAATTAATGACAAAGGGGGTGGAGTCCAACACCCACCATTGTGAGCCAAGCTCTAACTGTTGATCACGGTGTGACAAAGTGGCTAGGACAGAATTCGTTTGCCATTTGTCACTTGCATATATTGTTATTTTGTGTTCTGTTATCCTATAATCTATCCATAATGCTTTAATGTAAACACAGCACATGTAACCTTGGCTCTGCATACTATCCTGGGTCTGTTTGTGGTAGCATTGGTTATATTTATTTCATCTGTGCAAATGTACTTAAAGCTAAATGTCACTTCATCATTAATTGATTTGCATCTTTCATTTGTTTATGTAGTTTGGTTATACTTACCATTGTGTGTTCCTTTGAGCAGGTCCTATTTGTAAAACAGGTATGTGTGAAGGGCCGCCCCAGTACTTCCTGATTTTATAGAATATGATGTCACTGATCATGTCAATTGGGTGTAACCATATGAAGGGGTGCTTATTTTGTGTAAAATTTTTATTTCATTTTAAAATAACCTCATGAGTCAGATTAGGTGAAGAGATTGACTTTTCAAACTGTTTAGTTGGGTGAATGAGTTTGTTAAGTGGAAAAATGATTTTATTCCTGTTTCTTTGTCTAGACTGTGTTATTTAGTCTACCCTGTTTTCCCAATGATAGAGGTTAATGAGATCCAGGTGTGAGTGGAATTCTATATAAAGCAGGTGAGATTTTGACTCACAGGTTCTTATGTTTTGTGAAACAATTGTTGAAAGGCGACGCCAGAAAATAAAGAACACTTAAAAGAAACTTGAACAGTCTGCAGATGCTGTCTTCCTATTACCTTTCATGCTGCTTATGTTATGCTACTTCACACAGGGATCAAAAAGCCTGTAACAAAAAGCCACTCCCGGATAGGGATGGGTATCGTTTAGGTTTTATCCAATACCAGTACCAAACCGGTACTTTTGAAACGTGCCAGTGCTTAAACGGTGCTCGAACCAGTGCTTAAAGAATGGAGAACACAAAATTGGTCCAAAAACCTCTCATTTTTAGCTGTTTTTTTGTAAAAAGATAACAATGTTAGCCTTTTCTGCAGCTATAGGGGATTTATGGCATCACTCTTGGCTGGAAGCAGTGCTTAAACAATGGAAAAAACAAACTTTGTCCAAAAACCTCTCATGTTTAGCTGTTTTCCACCTTTTCTTTGGTCATTTTAGCCTTTTTGGCCAGGGTGAAGGGAGTATCTGCCATCGAACAAGAAGACAGCCGCATGTAACTACGACGGTGTTTGCTAGTTCACCTTACGTGCATTAATGTAATAATGTGGCCTACTCAGCGTAAATTACACACGAACAACATTAAGCTACTCACGCAGAGAAGAACGGCTGCTGCTGCTGCCATCATCATCATCATTCGTCACCGTCATCATTTCTGCTACACTGGCAGGGCTAGGGGCCAGGACTCTCCTCTTTGGGTTTTTGGGGGATGTTGCTAACTCCGGGTCAGATAACAGGCAACCCACCCACAGTAGATGCGCACGGTGTGAGGTCTCGCAGCAAGCTATCAAATACGGTGCATTTCTCGGCTTTTAACAAAATGCTATAGGCAGGTGTTTCATCAGATTCGAGGAGTTACCTCTTTTGCACAGTATCACCTTAAAGCACTTGTTGCAGGCTGCTGAGTTTGCATCTTTTGCTGTGAAGTACAGCCAGACTTTGACCGCTTCGCTTTGGGCATTTTTAATCTGTAGCTGTGCCATGGTAGACACCGACCACTGCATGAACCATTCTGACTCAGTGTCCCCAGCTTCTTATTTACTCTATAAGAAAAGGCAAATTTATACTACTTACAGTACTTATTGATCACGCTAAATAGCTTAAGCAGCAGATCCACTGTAACTATTTATGAATTTATGGACATGAATTCCATGTGCAAAACAAAAATGTACAAACATTCTGTCATGGTCCTGAGTCTTAGGACTCAGTGTTTTGTGTTTCCTTATGCTTTTGTTCATTCCGAGTGTGTATTCTGTTGTGATTTTGCCATTTGTTAGGTTTCTGTTCTTTGCCTGCCTGCTCCCACTTCTCTGTGTTCCCTCTGTCTGTCCATGGTGTTATTGTGTCTGCTCATGAGTCTGCCTGTCAAGTTCAGTGTCCTGTCTGGTTTTCTGTGTCTGTTAGTTTCCTGTTTTATTCTGAAAGTTCATGTCTCATGTCAGTGTGTTCAGTTTTACCTCTCCCCTGTCTCGTTAGCCTAATTGCTCCCAGCTGTGTCTCCCTCCTGTGGCCCATTCCCTGATTACTCCCCATGTATTTAAGCCCTGTGTTTTCCTGTGCTCTCTGTCGTGTCGTCTGTTTAGTTCCATGTCAGTCTGCATTATTCTGTTACCCTGTATTCATTCTGCGTCTCTCTGCCATCTCTCTTTGTGCATTTTGCTCCTCCTCCCGTGAGTGTCTGGTTTAAGTTTTGTTCTTTAGTTTTCCCAGTTTAGGTTTGTTTACTGCCCGCTCTGCTCTTCCTGTTTTGTCACCTTCTCACCGCTGTAAATAAACACTCACTCGCACCCCAGCCAGTACCTGCATTTTGGATCCTTTTTTTCAATACACCACACGACTGCCCCCAGCCGTGACACATTCATCTTGATGCTAAAAAATGATACATCTGCCTTTTACAACATTGTACTTTTATATGATGAATCTATTTATTACATCACTAGTGAATGAAGTGAAATGTACAATACTTTGCACTGAGATCTAAATGAACATACTTGTGAAAAATATCCTCTTTTACAGCATAACACTGATTACCATCGAAGTACAGCAACGATTTCCTTAGTGAAGTGAACCATTCACCACAATCACAGGTTTCTGTCTTTAACGGTCTCAGAGTTTTTTCTTTCCTTGTTTGTACACATGGATTTCTCCAAAACATGTGTCAGTCTTAATTACTGATAGGTTGCTTTACTGTAATAAGGAGCCTTGTTTACAGTTGTGCAGCACTGGTTTGTCTCGTTGTTTCACAGAATTACGTTACCAAGATGTGATGGTAGCAAAAGTGTCCATTAGGGGTCAAACACTTCAAACCTTCAGAAGACCCTTATGAAGAGAACATCGAGGGAACAGTTTACCCTGCCCGGGATAGGGTTACCGGGGCCCCGCCCTGGAGCCAGGCCCGGGGAGGGTGCCCGAGGGCGAGCATCTGGTGGCCAGGCCTTAGTCTATGGGGCCCGGCTGGGCACAGCCCGAAGAGGAGACATGGGCCCATCCTCCCGCAGGCCCACCACCCGCAGGAGGCGCCATAGGGGTCGGGTGCATTGTGTGCCGGGTGGCAGCCAGGAGCGGAGGCCCTGGCGGAGTGATCCCCGGCTGCCAAGACTGACAATAGGGACATGGAATGTCACCTCTCTGGTGGGGAAGGAGCCTGAGTTAGTGCGTGAGGTTGAGAGGTACCGGCTAGATATAGTCGGGCTCACCCCTATGCATAACTTGGGCTCTGGAACCAGTCTCCTGGAGAGGGGCTGGACTCTGTCTCAGTCTGGAGTTGCCCCTGGTGAGAGGCGGCGGGCTGGTACGTTGGGGTTTTTCCTGGTGGATGAGAGGGTTTGTTCCCTGCGCCTTAGGGTCGGGGAACGGGTCCTGACTGTCATCTGAGCTTATGCGCCGAGTGGCAGTTCAGAGTACCCAGCCTTCTTAGAGTCCCTGGGGGGGGGAGACTTTAATGCTCACGTGGGTAACGACAGCGAGACCTGAAGGGGCGTGATTGGGAGGAACGGCCTCTCTGATCTGAACCCGAGCGGTGTTTTGTTATTGGACTTCTGTGCTAATCACAGTTTGGCCATAACGAACACCTTGTTCGAACATAAGAGTGTCCATAAGTGCATGTGGCACCAGGACGCTCTAGGCCGTAGGTCGATGATCGATTTTCTAATCGTATCACCAGACCTGCAACAATATGTTCTGGACACTCGGGTAAAGAGAGGGGCTGAGCTGTCAACTGATCACCACCTGGTGGTGAGTTGGATCAGGTGGCGGGGGAGGACGCTGGACAGACCCGGTGCACCTAAACATGTAGTGAGGGTGTGCTGGGAAAGTCTAGCAGAGGCCCCAGTCCGCGAGATCTTCAACGCACACATCCGGCAGAGCTTCAACAGCATTCCGAGGGAGACTGGGAACATTGAGTCCGAATGGACCATGTTCAGTGTCTCCATTGCCGAAGCTGCTGCATTGAGCTGCGGCCACAAGGTGGTTGGTGCCTGCCGTGGTGGTAATCCCTGAACCAAATGGTGGACACCAGAGGTGAAGGGAGCCACCAGGCTGAAGGAGTCCTATTGGGCTTGGTTAGCCTGTGGGACTCCGGAGGCAGCCGACAGGTATCGACAGGCCAAGCAGAATGCCGCTCGGGCAGTGGCTGAAGCAAAAGCTCGGGTGTGGGAGGAGTTCGGAGAGGCCATGGAAAAAGACTTTCGGACTGCCTCGAAGAGATTCTGGCAAACCGTCAGGCGTCTCAGGAGGGGAAAGCGGTGCTCTACCTGCACTGTGTATAGTGCTGGCGGAGCGCTGCTGACGTCGACTGGGAAAATTGTCAGGCGGTGAAAGGAATACTTCAAGGACCTCCTTAATCCCACTGACACGTCTTCCGAGGAGGAAGCAGAGTCTGGGGATGAGGGGAATGACCCGCCAATTTCCAGGGGAGAGGTCACTGAGGCAGTTAAACAACTCCTTGGTGGCAGAGCCCCTGGTGTTGATGAGGTCCGCCCCGAGTTCCTGAAGGTTCTGGACGTTGTAGGGCTGTCCTGGTTGACACGCCTCTACAATGTTGCGTGGAGATCAGGGGCAGTACCCCTGGACTGGCAGACCAGGGTGGTGGTCCCCAACTTTTAAGAAGGGAGACCAGAGGGTGTGTTCCAACTACAGGGGGATCACACTCCTCAGCCTCCCTGGGAAAGTCTATGCCAGGGTGCTGGAAAGGAGAGTTAGTCCGCTAGTCGAACCTCGGATACACGAGAAACAATGTGGTTTTCGTCCTGGTCGCGGAACACTGGACCAGCTCTTTATCCTCTCCATGGATACTTGAGGGTGCATGGGAGTTTGCCCAACCAGTCTACATGTGTTTTGTGGACTTGGAGAAGGCATTCGACCGTGTCCCTTGGGGTGTCCTGTGGGAGGTGTTGCGGGAGTGTGGGGTGTCTGGTCCATTGTTACGGGCCATTCGATCCCTATACAACTGTTGCAAGAGCTTGGTTCGCATTGCCGGCAATAAGTCGGACTCGTTCCCGGTGAGTGATGGGCTCCGCCAGGGCTGCCCTTTGTCACCGGTTCTGTTCATAATTTTTATGGGCAGGATTTTTAGGCGCAGCCAAGTGGCGGAGGGCTTTCACTTTGGTGGCCTCAGAATCTCATCTCTGCTTTTTGCGGATGATGTGGTTCTGTTGGCTTCATCGGGTGAGGGCCTCCAGCTTGCACTGGAA